GCTCCTGGGTGTTGATCTTAGATGCTCAGGCATGGTGCCAAGCACCTTCACCAATGAGCCGTATCTCCAGCCCTTTTCCCTTCAATTTAAAATGGACGACACTGTACCCGTTGGCTGTGGAGGGGACCTGCTGGCCATAGGGACCATGCATTCCAAAGAAGAATCCCCCACACCATTCAGTAAACGTGGTGCCATCTGATGCAGGGACTCTGTGCTCAGTGACTCTGAATCATGCACAGATCTTTAACAACTGTCTCTTGACCGAGGCGATACTCGCCCCCAAGTGTGTTTTGATGTATGCACGAACACTGGAGGATGACCAAACTGGGCTTACTAACATATTCATCACCTTCTATGACATCCTATCCTGAGTCCCAGCTCACAATCCAGTGAGTGGTCAAATAACAGGAACCATCTTTAATGTTGTAGAAAAGCCAAACTTCACACATATTGCATGAAAGCTATGTAATTATGAAGGAAAAATTGGGATGTGCCTGTAGAAGATCTTTATGATAGAACTTACAGAACTTAAAAAAAAAGCATAAAATAGTCTACCTGACATAGTATTTGTTCTTAGCTCAGAAGTAAGTTGTTTTTTCTTTAAAAGAACAAATACTTCCTAGTTATGAGGATGAAAAGAGGTTAAATTACAAATAAGGCACTGAAAAGTCATCTACACTGTTCTACAAATCAATTATTGTTTCTCTTTACCTTGAGTTGGTTTTGACTATTCATAGACTACCTAACCTTGAGTTTTAATGAGGACAGGATGCCAGTATACAGTGTACTGATGGACTTACTGCCCCATGAAAAGTGACACATTAGATAAGTGAAGCTTCTTCCTGTTTATGGACACAAGTGCACACATCTGAATTCTGCTTCACCGTCGTCACAGCAGCTCCGGAGAAGCACCGTTCTCACCTGGAGCCCTAGAACGAGGGACAACAGGCAGAAAGTGATATTACTCTTACACTCACTTCACTGCCAGACCTTGAGCTACATCAAGTCAATCAACTGTCAACACTCAGAAAACGGCTACAAAATCTTTTTAAGGTGTGCCTAGTGTGCTTAGTTTTAAATGTTATCTTGCCACAACCAGAATCAACCGAGAGGTTCGCTGAGAAACAGTATAGACCAGGTTTGCCTGAGTGTGTCTGTGGGGTTCTGTAGCTGGGCCCTGAATTACAGGAGTGAGAAATCAATCAGGCAGTGTGGCTGCATTCCTCTCTCTCTGCTCTTGTGGACACGATGTGACTAGTTCCTTGAGTTCCTGCTTTGACTGCCTCAAAATGAGGGGCTGTAGTCTGGAACTGTGAGCTGAAACAAACCCTTAGCCCCCAAGTCATTTGGTGAGTGTTTCATCACAGCAACAGAACGCAGCTAGAACATAGAGGATTAAGACTAAACTACTAGAAAATCCATGTTAGGAATGGTAGTTTCAGGGGCTCAGGTTGGAGTTCAGTTGGTCCAATGCTTGCCTAGCATGTAGCATGTGGGAATACTAGAATAAAGCCCTGGGCTCCCCAGCATCTCATAAAGGGAGCATGGTGGCATACACCTGTAACCTTGGCATCTGGGAGGTGAAGGCAAAAGGATCGTAAGTTCGAGGCTACCCTTGGCTACACAATGAGTTCTAGGCCAGCCTGGGCTATAGGAAACCTTGTCTCAGAAACAAAACAAAACCCCCAAATCAAACTAACAAGTAAATAAAACAAACAAAAGGTTCATCTATTCTGGATGAATTAATATGTAAAGTATTTTTCTGGTAAAGTTAGATATAGACTTACCCCCTCTACCTCCATATCTATGGGAGTAGCTTGGGGCATTTCACCCACAATAAAGCCCTAAAAATCAAAGGCATCTAAATCAGGTATTCAGGTAAGTTATGCAGGTTTAAAAAAAATAGCTTTACAAATCATATTACTTATTTTGTATGCATGTGTATATGTGTGTGGCTATCAGTGTGTGTGTGTGTGTGTGTGTGTGTGTGTGTGTGTGTGTGTGTGCAGGTCAGAGGACAACTTGCAGGAGTTGGTTCTCCCACAATACCATGTGGTTCCTGGGGACTGAACTCAGGTCAAGAGCCTTGGCATCCTGCTGCTGAGCCATTTCACCAACCCATTATGGAGACTTAGAATAAGACTATTGTACTCATTTTGACTTTCATTAACTTATGAATAGCAAACAAAATACAGTAGAAATAGATACAATCAAATCTGTTCATGAATAAGAAGCAAAAATAATAGAAAATATTTGGCACAAATATCAAAAGAAACATTCTTTTTGTAGGAAACTTTAATGTGGCAAAATTGCTACATATTTCCTTAGCCGTTTCCATACATAGAGATCTCTCTGGCTATGGAATACCCCCCAAAATGCTACAAGAAGTGATTTAAGCTGTATTCTTTATTCATAGCTGAGTTCATGGGAAGTTAATAAAACAAATGAAGCCGATGTGGAAGACAACACAATTCTCCAGGGTAACTTAGCTCTGGTACTGGGACTGCCCTGGAGGTGTCCCCTTCCTTCTGGCTGGCAGGGTCTGGGTTTCAAGCAGCCGTGTCTACACGAGTGACAAGAATAAAAGGCAGAGATGGTGTCAGTCTACGCTGGTTGTCACAGGGTGGGTGGCTCAACCATAGGAAACCACTCTTCTCAGACTTAGAAGCCAGGGTGTCCAAGATGGAGTTGCTCAAACACTTGTGGTGAGGCCCCTCTTTCTGGCTGTCAGATCGCCAGCCTCGCTTCTTGCTAGACCCTCAGATAACCTCTTCCCTGTGCTCAAAAGGTGAAAGCAAAACAAGAACCATACTCGGGTGTCTCTTTCTCTTCTTATCCAGACTTTAGTCTTTTTCTTTCCTTTTGCTGCAAAATGATCAAACTTTCATGCCAGGGCTGTGGAAGGGCAGCTGTAGGCTACCGTGGGTATTGGAGGCTCAAATCTCTCCTCTCTGCCTGGGGTCCCCAGGCACTAATCAATGTGGCAATGAGAGGCCACAGATCTTGCTCCTTCATAGGACAGGTCAGAACTTACAACCTGGGTTACACACAGGGATAACGAGGATGTGGTCCACGGTTTGCAGTGGTTTGAGGGAGAAATCGGTGGTGCTGGGAGAGCGGAATGTCTAACCATCACTAAAGGGGAGGATCTTGAAAGTGACCAAGGGAGGACAAAGGAGTGCTGGTCACACAGACAGGTGTCACTTCAGAGGCCAGGTGCCATTTCAGAAGCAACAAGGCTAAGACAAAGAGAACGAAAATAACCATCCCCCTGCAACTGCACCCTGACAGCTTTCCAGGGAAATAAAACTCAAGTCTGAGCAAACAGCACACAAAACTGCTCAGGGAGTCAAACAAGAGGGAACTAAAATTCTAGATTTGTAAGTTGAGGGAGGAAATCAGACATTGTTCAAAAGCTCTCAATGTTTAACAGGGGCAAGAACAGGAAATTTAGGTTTTCTCTACTAATGCATGCTAAATTTTCTGGTGAGCATGAAATGAATATTCAACTTCAACTACTATAAGAGAAGTACATGGAAAAACATTCTATCCAAAAGAAGGCAAGAAAATGAAGAATGTGGAAAAGCAGGAAAGGGGCCAAACACACAACAAAATGTAAGGCTGAGCTTGATCCCCAGAATCCATATGGCAGAAGGGAGAACTGACACCCACAGATTATCCTCTGATCTCCACACATGTGGTGGTCTGTCTTCCCCCAGTAAATAAATGCTAAAAGTTTATAATGATAGAAGCAAATCCTAATATATTAGTAGTTTTAAGAAGTATAAATGGATTACACTTTCTAGCTAAAAATAACCAGGAAAAAAAAAACTCTAGTTTTTGAAACACACCTAGTTTGGGCTAGATGTACTTAGCAACAGCGCCCCCAAACACATAAAACAAAAATTAATAGTGTCTTAGGGATAAAATAGTAAACCCAGCAGAAAAGGAAATTCTAACATATTGCAGAATCTGAAAGATCCTGTAGACACCAGGCCTGGCCTAACGGACACCCAGCCAGAAGTGTACATTTTCCATACACTATGAAACAGTTGTGAAACTGTCCATAGCTAAACTACAAAGCAAACTCTAACAAATCTGAACAATTCAATCAAATATGTATTCTCTGACTAGACTTCAACTATGGTAGGAATCAATAATAAAAACAGAATTATAATCCATATATGTTAGGAAACAAAAAAGAAAATGTCACATGTCAAGGAGAAATCAATTACAACCAGAAAATACACTCAAACCAACATTTCCTAATAGTTTAAAATTATAAGATATTATTTCATTTGATTGTTAGAATCCTGTGAGCCACACATAACCCTTAGTATCTCTGTCCAACATAGAACAAATGTCAATTACGCATTTGAATATTTTAAATAAGAATATGTAACAAAGATGATCTGGAAAGGAAGGAGAGGAGAAGTGTTCACCACTGAACAGGACAGCAGGAAAGCAAACCAACCGACCCTTTTAGAAATTCAACAGTGCTACAGAAAACTGAGTGCATTAGTATGGAAAGCTTAGAAAGTGCCCTGGTCTGCACTCTTTAGAAAGATTTATGTTATACACAAATTCAGGAGGTAAAGTATTTGTTTGTTATGCACACAAAACACCAGAAATCTTTGCTGTGCTATGTGTCCAGTGACCACAGTACACATGTCCGCCAGCACCCAGAATTCTGATTTGGTCACAGCAGCTATTAATAGTGTGGTGGTCACTAACGACATTCCAAAAAGTGCCTATGGTACAAAGAGGATTTTTACTTGTGGCCCCCTCCCTTTCCTTTTCACGTGTGGGATATTTTTGGAAATTTTTTTTCCATCCACTGAAAGAGAGAGAATTAAGAAAATTCTAGCATGCTTCTGTGTCAGCAAGTGCTCGTTCAGTCCAGGGAGCAGAGGATGATTGATGAACCTGTCAGGCCTACAGTAGCAGACAGAGAAAGTTGGCACAAGTTCAGTGTTACTGAAAGAAATCTCAAATACTTATTTCATCTCTTCTATTAGCTTTAATCACATTTCAACATGAGCTAAGAATGAAGCTTTCACAGTCTGCCATACATTTACACAGGCAAGCATTGTCAATTTTCTGCAGTGAGAACATGGAGATATCCTGAGAGAGTGAGGTATTTTTTTACCTTTCTTGACTGAAGAGCAACAGAAAATACTAGAAAGACTCATCTGCACCTCATGCCCACTGGCTATGCAGCTCCTCCAATGACTGCATGCACTTCTGTTCAATTCATAGCAATGAAGTTCAACATGGTTCTTCGGTTAGATTAAGTGCAAGCATGGAAAGATCACAGTGGTGATGGACAGTGGTGTTCCATATGGACACACCTGCTGGAGAACAGACATTAGTACGAAAGGGATTTACCTCTAACACAGATCACCTGCTGTGTGGGTGAACAGTCCTTGTCTGTCCAGGGCCAGTCCGACACAGTTCTGTAGGGACTCTGTGGGCTGACTACTCCCTGAGCAGCTGAGGCATGCACAGATGCTGGTCTTTAAAGAGGCTGCCCTAAGCAAAACGGACCTAAAGGTGGAGGAAGTACTACCTATGGGCAAGATGATGATCCTTGGAGATGCTAATGTGAAAATAGATTTGGGTGGAAATTTTCTCCTAAGCATGGTTTACAAGATGAAAATATTAAATGCTAAAAGGCCACCTTTTAGCATGTCTTGTCACCCAGTGAAACACACAGTATTGTGTTGTACTGCAAAATACGGTATCTCCAAGCACATTGTTCAAAGGCCACCATGGCATCTGTCACAAGAAAGGCTAGTCTGATCCTTGCTTAGGGATGCTGTGACAAGCAGCTGCACACCTGCCATTTAATCCCCAATGAGGAACCATTTACCCGTGGTGAAAATGAAGCAGATTCTTGAAGAAATGGACACACAGCAATCTAAGCTAATCACCGAAAAGAAGACCACATTTGATTAGTAATACATTCCTCCCATGTTCACTCTCCTTCAAATGATCACCTTTAGGCATGTAAGCACTCTTCTTCCACTGGACATTTATCTGGCTCCAAAAGCTTCTCTTTTCAGACCCAAGAGTGCCACTGGGTATATTTCTAATCTTGAAGAAGAGGCTATGTGGTTGGTGGGAAGATCTGGGAGAAAATTTCTCATTCATCTGTCCCTGTAGGTCAAATTCTTAGAAGGTAGAAAACTTTGCCAGGTCTTTCTCCATTGCAGCGTATTGCTCTTTAAGCCTTTCCATGGCTCTTCTGTGCTCGTCATCCACTTCAGCTCGGCGCTGTGGCTGTTCTTTCATGAACTCCTCCCACTGGAGCAGACGCCCCTTCTCACTGGCTGTCAAGTGGTCATTAATCACCTGAGGAAAGAAAGCATGAAAGCCACATAGCATCTTTCAGACATATGTAGCTACACAAGAGAACATTATCAACTGACAGTTATTGTAAGAACCAGCAGATAGGACAGCGCTAAAAGTGCATGACTGTTTCAATAGCCACTAAGAACATTATACATGAGGTCTGTAACCACAACATTTGGGAGGCTAAGGCTGGAGGGTCACTGTGAGTTCAAGACCAGCCTGGGGTACAGAGTGACTTGCCTCATAAATAAATAAATGAATAAATAAATAAACGCATGATATAGAAACATTTAAAACTTTTCTTACTATAAGTGAACATGGATACTCACATTTCTACAGTCTCTAAAATGCTCAGTGTCTTTATGGTGCCAGCAATCTGAAGTGGCACCAGGGTCTGAACCAGAGCCTGGAGACCACTGGGACAGTTCTCCACCACCAGCGCCTTTGGCTTCTAATGCCATTAAATGACAAAAAGTCAAGTCAGCCACACACTTTCATTTCTCCCAAATTTCTCAAACTACAGGTAGGTTTTTTGCTTTGGTTTATGGTTTTTCAAGGCAGGGTTTCTCTGTGTAACAGCTCTGGCTGTCCCAGAACTCACTTTGTAGACCAGGTTGGCCTCGAACTCCTAGAGATCCACCTGCCTCTGCCTCTGAGTGCTGGGGTTAAAGGTAAATGCCACCACACCTGGCAACTACATATAGTTTTAATCAAGTCTAAAATTACATACTGAAATGTCACTGTAAGAAGTTAAATTTTCTGTCTTACATTTTCTGAAGCATTTTTTTGATACATTAGAAAGAATCACGTATTAGCAGTCATTGGAGGAGAATCCAAAACATCTTGCAGTTCAGTCTAGTTTTTAAAGTGATGTCACCATCTCATGTCAAATATCTAAGCTGTTTTCAGGATGGTTTTTAACATTTCTACACCAACAAAGGTTTGCTTTGAGTACCATAAAATGCAGATAGAATAGTGTAAAAAAGAAAAGAAAAAGGATATGAATTCCATCTAACTTCTATGAAACAAACTACCAGAACCTAGACAGAACATGTGAAGCCCTTCTAAACTCCTGTATACCAATTCCTAAGAGTCCACGAGACTCCCCAAACAACATGGGCTACTGCTGTTGTCCATAGTTGCTTCCCAGAGGTTGAAGGTAAATCTGAATTGCTGAAGACACAACATACTTTACACTTGGAAGAGTTGAGCTGTATCTCACCTGAAAGCTTCCTTCCTGAGGTCTATCAGAAGTACTATGCAAACTGTCAAAAGAGGAAAGCATTTGATGCCTATGAATCACAGTGATGATTAGCAGGGCAAGACAGCCCTAAAGGTGCAACAGTGGCACTCATATCTTGGCAGTAACCAACAGCTGTCTAACTTATGCCCATAGATAAGTGCAAGTCTCACTCCTGATCAAAGAAGCTCTTTGCAGCAAATGGAAACTATTACAGAATACAACTGCCCAAAATGCAAAGAACAACTGACCACAGGGTGCCCAACCCTAATTAACATATCTACAGCACAACCTTACCCTAAGACTCAGAGAACATCTCAGAAGATGAGGTGGGAAGATTATAAGAGCCAGAGGACCCGAAAGTCCGCTGTAAAACTGTTCCACCATGAAATGACAAGGAACCTACACATATGAAATCTCAATAATATGGCTCCCTAAACAAGGCCTGAACAAGGATAATACTAGCTGACAGGTTAATATGGAAGGGGAAAATATCTCATGGGGCCCCACCCCTAGACAAAGAACTACAGGCAACCTAGGAAAGCTGAGAGTAGGAGAATTAAGACTTTCCCAGGGATGAGCCCCCTAATTGGTTCTTCAATGCCAAGTAGTAAGCCCTGAAACCAGTAACACTAAATACTTTATTTACAAGTATGTATCGGAAAAAGAGGCCATGAATTTAAGAGGGAGTGAGGGGGTGCATAGGGAGGACTGGAGGGAGAGAAAAGAAAGGGGAAAATGATGTAATTATATTCTAATTTAAAATTTTAAAAACTAAATAAAAGGAGAGTCAGAGAATAGACTGTGAACTTGAATGCCAGCACCATTGTGGTGATATATTGTGTACCCTAATAAATTTGCCTGAGCATCAGAGGACAGAGCCAGCCACTAGATTGGACACAGAAGCCAGACAGTGGTGGCACACACAAATCCTATCATTGGGGAGACAAAGATCCATCTGGATCTCTGTGAGTTCAAGGCCACACTGGCTACATGAGATTGATCCAGTATAGGAGAGAAACAGAGTCAGGCAGTGGTGGCACACACCTTTAATCTCAGCACTTGAGATCTCATGCCTTTGCTTGGGAATCACACATTCCTTTAATCCCAGCAAGTAATATGGTAGGGCAGAGAAAGGTATATAAGGTGTGAGGAAATAGGAACTCACCCACTCTCTTTAGGCTGAGGATTTCGTAGAGGTAAGAACTAGTGGCTGGCTGTTCTGCTTCTCTGATCTTTCAGCTTTCACCCTGATATCTGGTTCTGGTTTTTTATTTTTTATTTTTTTATTAAAAGATCATCTAAGTTGAACAACACACCATTACCAGGGAAAAGGTGAAACTGTTTCTGGTAGTCAATATATTCTGGGGGCTCTGGAAAGACCAATACACTCTTAGTGCCTACGAAATGCACCCCAGAACTAGTTGCTTAGCTCACTTCTAAAAGTCCCTCTTGTAACATCATACTATCTCATTTTACAGACAAACAAATGAAGGCTTAAGGACAGACCTTTGCTCCCTCACTGTCCCTTATCTAACAGCTGGGCTGCTGAGTCAAACTCAGGTCTGTTTAGCATGGGGACCCATGCCTCTCCCACCAAGGGCTACAGAGCAGGTCTTTGGAAAGGCAGTTTACACAGGCTGCTAAATCTTTCTTTTGCAAGAGAAAAAAGCTCTGGCTACAGGTTTTCTGCCAAGTTGTCCAGTGTTTTCAAGAACTAAGAGTTTTTAAGTGAGAATTAAAATGAGTCTGAAGATGGGGTTTTAGTTAAATGTCCCCCTAAAATACGCCGCACAGAGCACTGGGATGTGAGTGGGTAGTGGAGAGTGGAAAGAGGGGGCTACATGAGGCTTCCTGCATCCAATGCATTTGAGAAATGATTTCAACAACCATTTTAACACATTATTGCTTTAAGTTGTTAGTCTTACAGGCTGGAATTCTCCAGAAACCGAACAAAACATGAGGAGCTTATTACATTAGTTTGAAGGAATTTTTGCAAAAAAACAAAACAAAACAAAACCACAAAAACTGTGACAGTTTAAAGGGAACACCATATAAATATAAACACACTTCATGAAAATGGTACCTTGTTCAACTTTATTTATTGTGTGCCACCTTGTCAGCCTGAATCCTTTTTAATCAATACAGGGAATATTAACACACATGCTCAGATGTCAGTTTTCTCCTTTCTCTGTAACTGAAAAGCCATAACTGGCTTCGCTGGCCTTTTGATTTGTTCCATAAGGCAGCCGCCTAGGCTGTCTCCCCGCCCCGCCACCAGACAACACCCAAGTCAGTGCAGCTCAACAGAGAGAAATACAGACCTAGGAGGAGGCACAGGAGCCTCACTTCAGATTCAGGATCACCTATCACCAACACCATGACACGGAGCAAGTTAAAAGTCTCTTTGGCCTAAGAACTGAAGAAAATGACACTTTGTGTTCATAAATGAAGTTTATGAAGATTGGAGGCGACACCTGTCAAGCTCCTAGCTCCGTGCCTGAGGGACTCAATCAAAGGTAAACATTCTCACACAAGTCACAGTAAGCTTCTGAAAAGCATACCACATCATTGTTTACCCCCACCAGTTAAAAGTGATCATTTCTGGCCGGGCGGTGGTGGCGCACGCCTTTAATCCCAGCACTCGGGAGGCAGAGCCAGGTGGATCTCTGTGAGTTCGAGGCCAGCCTGGGC